ATTGCCTAAACTGAGGAAAAGGAAAGGCCCAGAAAACAGGAGTGGGGGCAGGGGCAGCAGAGGAGTCCATCTGGAGATCAGAATCAACAGCTGGAGCAATGCCCCAGAGCCTGGTGGCATGGAGGCGCAAGAGAGATTGCCCGGCCCTGACCAGTGCATCCTTCCCTGCTGGCTTGCTAGTGTGACCCCTGCCCTGTCTCCCTCCAGGGCCAGTGTTCCCAGATGTGTCACAATGTCTTCATCGTGGAATCAGTGTGCGTTGGCTGGTTCTCCCTTGAGTTCCTGCTGCGGTTCATCCAGGCACCCAGCAAGTTCGCCTTCCTACGGAGTCCACTGACCCTCATCGACCTGGTGGCCATTCTACCGTACTATGTCACGCTGCTGGTGGATGGCGCTGCCTCCAGCCGCCGCAAGCCAAGCACCGGAAACAGCTACCTAGACAAGGTCGGGCTGGTGCTGCGCGTGCTGCGGGCACTGCGCATCCTCTATGTGATGCGCCTGGCTCGACACTCACTGGGACTGCAGACCCTGGGGCTCACAGCCCGCCGCTGCACACGTGAGTTCGGGCTTCTGCTGCTTTTCCTGTGCGTGGCCATTGCCCTCTTTGCCCCGCTGCTCTACGTCATCGAGAACGAGATGGCAGACAGCCCGGAATTCACCAGCATCCCTGCCTGCTACTGGTGGGCTGTCATCACCATGACAACCGTGGGGTACGGAGACATGGTACCCAGGAGCACACCTGGCCAGGTGGTGGCTCTGAGCAGCATCCTCAGCGGGATCCTGCTCATGGCTTTCCCTGTCACCTCCATCTTCCATACCTTCTCCCGCTCTTACCTGGAGCTCAAGCAGGAACAAGAGCGGGTGCTGATCCGCAGGGCCCAGTACCTCATCAAAACCAAGTCGCAGCTCAGTGGCATGTCCCAGGACAGTGACATCTTGTTTGGAAGTGCCTCTTCAGACACCAGGGATAACAACTGAGTCAAGAAGTCACCCCAGCCCTGCCTGCCAGCTGCAGCTCACCGCTGAAGCCTGGAGAAGGACTTTAGTGCTTTCAAGCCCAGCCCCCCACCCGCCCAAGCCCAGAAGTGAAAGGAAAGAAAGCTAAAGCCAGCACCGCACCCACCCCAGCCTCACACCTGTTTCCCTCCATCAGGTTCCTTATGTAAAGAACACGCCCAGCAAAACCTGCACACACAGGGGACTGCCTGGGGGGGAGATCCAGACAGCAGGCCGCCACGCATGACTTCTGCGTGTGTCCACTGAAAGAGGAAAAGCCTTCCCTTGGGGGTCCTGAAGTTAAGCCAGAAGTAGGGTACCCGAAGTGAAAGGACCATGTTGCTGGGGTCTCTGGGCTAGTGGGACACTGGTGGGGTGGGAGAAAAGGGGACAGGCAGACCTTTAGGGGACCGCCATGGATGCTGTGTTCAGGCTCCTCTGCTCCTGACTCCAAAGCCTGTCCTTCATCCTTCCTGCTCACCTCCCCCCATCCTTGTTTACCCCTTGAGAGCCCTCTTCTCAGCGCCTCATGGCCATAGGGGGGACACCATAAGCCAGTCAGCGCTGCTGACTTTAAAGGTGAAATCACCTCATTTTATGATTTAAAATAAGTGAGATTTTAGCCTACTCCAATTTATTTTAACATTACAAAAAAGAAGCACTTTACACCCCTTACTGGAGCCTCGGTCTAAACCCACAGTGGGCTAGTGCTTCAGGCAGGTGCGGCCCCAGGAAGTCTGGGGAGTGTGTGGGAAACCTCTGTGCCCTCAAAGGGAGCCACACTCCCTGGCCTCAAGAAGCACCATCTGTGCAACAAGAGGGACCGCAGGCCAAGCTAGAAGACTCCATCTCACCTCACTGTGTCTGAGTCCTGGGTGCCTGGCACTGAGGGGTCATCACACACACACACACACACACACACACACACACACACACACGTGCATGCACACACACACACACACACACACACACACGTATGTGCATACATGCATGAACACACGTGCGTGTACATGTACACATGTGCACACACACTTGCCCCCAGCCTCACAGGGACAACAGCTTCCCTGACTGCTTTATCCCACAACCCAGCTGCCTTCTCTCTGTTCAGCAGCAGAAACTGCGCTTTTGAGACACGTCTGGTTCTGACTGTAGACTGTGCAATCAAGCCCCTGCCTGCTGCCATAGTCTGCAGCTTCTCACAAACCTCCACAGCTGTGCAGACAGTCCACTGCCCCCTCCACACCTCCACAGCTGTGCAGACAGTCCACTGCCCCCCCACACCTCCACAGCTGTGCAGACAGTCCCCCCACACACACACCTCTACAGCTGTGCAGACAGTCCACTGCCCCCACACACCTCCACAGCTGTGCAGACAGTCCACTGCCCCCCCACCCCTCCACAGCTGTGCAGACAGTCCACTGCCCCCCCACCCCTCCACAGCTGTGCAGACAGTCCACTGCCCCCCCACCCCTCCACAGCTGTGCAGACAGTCCACTGCCCCCCCACACCTCCACACCTGTGCAGACAGTCCACTGGCCCCCCACACCTCCACACCTGTGCAGACAGTCCACTGCCCCCCACACACACCTGTGTAGACATTTCACAAACCCCTAAAGCACACCAGGCACACCCAGCTGGCCCCATCTCATTGTGGGCCTTCACACCTGCAGAGCCATCTTCTGGAATACCCTTCCTGCAGAGCACTGCATGGCTAACTCATTCCTTTCACTGCCTCTCTGTACTGAGCACCACCCCCACAGATTCCCCACTTTTTCCCTTCTCTGATCCTGAGCTCTGGTCCATCTCCTGCAGGACCAGCTCAGTGTATACTGGCAGGTACTCTAAACTGGCTCCCTGCTGTCTCCCAGGTTGTCATGCAGGGTCAACACCTAAGGGATGCTCAGAAAACATTTTTGAAAAGCAGATTAAAGGGGAAACAGCAAAAGGGAACAGAGATGGAAAATGCAGCCATTACAGCTTAGATCCGAAATGTCCCCAACTGCTAGAGCCATACCACCCCAAATGTGCCTGATCTCATCTGAAATGTCACTGTCATCCAGAAGCTCACATATCAAAGACTTGGTTCCCTATGCAAGAGGTGGGACCTCTGGTAATGGGGTCACGAGGGCTCTGACCCCATCAATGGATCAACCTACGATAAATCCACAGATAAATGACCACTGGGAAGTGGTAGAAACTTAGAGGGGGTGGGGCCTGGTTGGAGGAAGTAGATGATCAGAGATGTGCCCTTGAGGGGTGTGTCACCCCAGATAACTTCCTCTTGGTTTCTCTCTGCTTCCTGCTACAGTGAGGGGAGCAGCTGAGCTCCACCAACGTGCCCCTATTGGGACGCTGCACCTTGAAGTTGGCCCAGAAACAGTGAATAACCATGGACTCAAACCAGAAACCAAAGTAAACCTTCCCTCCTTCAAGCTGCTGTCCTCTGGTGTTCTGTCATAGCATCGGAAAGCTATCTGTTACAGAGATTATTTTTAACACTGGAGCCTGGGTCCCTGGAGCACACACACACCTTCTCCTTACCTCGTGGGAGACACAGCCATCTCCTACACAGCATACCCACCAGCAGGCAGAGTGGAAATGCCATCCAAACCCTGAGGGCCCCCTTCACAGCTCCTCTGACACCTGCTCTAGTGACTCAGAGCTGCAAGAAAGTTTCCCCACTAATTAACATCATCTTCCCTGACCTAGGAGGTGTCACAGCCCAGCCACTACAAGGCAGCACCTCAGAGTGGTAGGATGCCCTTTCCCCCTCAAAGGTGGCTGTGAGAAAGTCTAGGAATGCACTAAGCAGGGTGTAGAGGGAGCCTTCTGAAGTCAGAGTGAGAAAAGAAATGCCACTTATCCAGGAGGGGACCCTCAAAATGAGAAAACGGCCTGGTGTGTGTGTGTGTGTGTGTGTGTGTGTGTAGAAGCTGGGGGTCTGGGGTCTGTGCCTGGCCGGGTTCTCTAACTTCACCTTGCAGATTTAGCTCTGCCCTGGTGAGTAAGGAAGTCTGGGGCATAGATTGGCCACTGCCCAGGACCTCATGTGAGGTCAAGAGGCTCCAGATTCCACCAACATAGCAAAGAAGATTCAGGCCTGAACTAAGACAGGGCACCTAGGACACTCAGAAAACTGTTCTAGAGCAGAGGCCAGGCATTCTGTCCTCTTAGTCAGGGACTCACTGTCCATGAGCCACCTGAGGCTGCAAGGCAGCTGTGGTCAGACCCAGGTGAGAGATGCCTCAGTATGGGGTGACCTTGTGACCTGGTGACCTTGCCTCACCCAGCCAGGCCTCTGTGCTGACCCCATTCACCTGTGTGAAAACCTTGGCTCTAGAAGACTTTAGAAGACTTGGCATCAGACCTAAAGTCAGTGTCAGTGTCAGTGTCTGAGTCACATGGTGTCCCCACCTGGGACCTGTCAGACACTTCTTCAGAGTCACAGCAGACAAGAGCAGAATCCCAGTCCCGCCTCTAAGTGGCCCAAGACCAAAGTGAAGTGACTGGGCACCTGTCTTTGACACCAAAGAGAGGGAGAAGGACCAGAAGACCCATCAAGACTCAGACGCTGCCCAAAACACACATTGAAGAACATGACAAGATTTTACATAAAAACAAATCTGGCTTTGACCTCCCTGACACTTGTTCCCATCCTGTCCCAATGCCCTGATGTACCCAGGTGAGACATTATGTAGCCAGAGCCTGTCTCCATGAGAGAACTAATGCCGGTCAACACTCAGCTGTGGGCACAGCACCCGGCCACATTCTTTCAGAAGGATCGGGGAGCCATCAGCTACTCCTTCTATGTGGCCAACACTGGAGACCAAGGCCTGGTCTTGTGAGGTCCAATAGTGATAGGGAAAGAAGTCATGGATATTTGACTTTCGCAGAGAAGAAACTGTTGGTGATGCTGGTGACTTGGCAGAGAGTAACAGGGTCAGGGAAGAACATTCCCTTATGTGTAGCCAGGTGAAGTCTGTAACTCCGGCTACTCCAGAGGCTGAAGCAGAAGCCCTGCATATTCAGTGCCTGTCTGGGTTCCAGGGGGACTTCAAGGCCAACCTGGGTGACTCCAAGAGATTTCTGTCTCAGAGTAAAATGTACAAATAAGGTTGAGGGTGGTATCTCAGGACACCGCACTCCTGAGGTCCAGGGGTTTAGCCTTAGTACCTCAAAAACTTTTGTTTTGTTTTTGTTTTTTGTTTTTTGAGACAGGGTTTCTCTGTATTGCTTTGGTGCCTGTCCTGGAACTCACTCTGTAGACCAGGCTGGCTTTGAACTCACAGAGATCTGCCTGCCTCTGCATCCCAAGTGCTGGGATTAAAGGCGTGCACCACCACTGCCTGGCTTCAAAAACTATTTTTAAATGTGTGCTCAGATAAGGACTTGCAGAGGAGATGATACTAAATACAAAGAGCAGCGATTCAAGCTGAGAGAAGGGCTGGCCTAAGAGTCCAGCCTTGGACAGAGAGAGAGAGAGAGAGAGAGAGAGAGACAGACACACACACACACGTGCGGACACACACACACACGTGCGGACACACACACACACGTGCGGACACACACACACACGTGCGGACACACACACACACGTGCGGACACACACACACACACACACACACGCATACACATACATGTACATGCACACACATGCATACACACATGCATACACATACATGCACACACATATATGCTCTCGCACACACACACACACACACACATGTGCAGGCATACACACACACACACACACACACACACACACACACACACAGTCTTTGGGCATTTTTTCCTTTTTGGCTACACGAGCCTCTTCTCTATTCACCGAAGACCAAGTGCAGTCACTACTTCCTGGGTCTCAATTCCTAGAGACAGTCATTTTCAAACCCACCTCCAGAGCCCTGACCCAACCACTTCCTGGGTGGGGTGGCCACCCCAGCACACAGATCCTGTGCCGTGTGCATTAGAACCAGGCACCAGGT